ATATAGTAAAATTCATCATCATCACATCACCATTATAGTCAAAATGAAACGCCAAAAAAATTCTCATGATCTTTTATCAAGGATCTACTTAATATCCAGGACAACTTAGGCCTAACTATAGATTACTAAGCTTTAACTATATATACTATAATAATTATGATCAACAAACTTTTTTCGCATTTAGCACAATTTTCTTCACTTTTTATTGCTATAACTATTATTATCAATTATTAGTATCGTCATCATCATCATTGTTATTATTATTATTACTACTATTTGTAGTAGTAGTATTAAAAAAAAGAAACTTGCAAAAGGATAAAAACGAAATTGAACCATAGTATCGCATTTCTATCTTAAAAGATCTGGTCTGAGATTTATGGATTTAGGCCTATGTGTTCTATTAGGCCTATGTATAACGTGTACCGTACTGATGCATATTTACATGTTTAGAAGTATTTATTTTGAGTGATCCTAGGAAAGAATTTGTATTGGCTCAATAATAAGCTTTAAAATTTTAACACTGTGTACAAAGGGGTGGGGGAGACGCGACTCCCACGATACGTGACTCCCACGATACGTCCCTGAACCGTGCTGCAGTCTAGAAGGCCCACCCGAACTTTAAAGCAAAACATAATAAGCAATTTGTCCCTTCTGACAGACACAGATGAAAAAGAAAGCAAATGTAACCTCTCCTCAAAGCTCGATATTGTTTAAGAGCAAGACGAGTTGCTCTTCTGTGGACTCCCTCAAGTAGATCTGACAAAGTTTTAGTTCATGAAAACCAGGCGGGTTGAGCATACTCCAGGCAATGCAAGGCATTTGTAGAGAGACAAAAATGCACTGGTCGAAGCATGTCCTAAAATGAGCATAGATATGTCCAGTGCATTTAATACGATTCGTAGGACAACAATTTATTAAGACTTGTCAAGGATGCAGGATGTAGTCTGTCTCTTATACACATCTAGATGTGTATAAGAGACAGGCTTCTCAAATATTTTGTTGTGATGTTATGTCAGCATGGTCTAAATTTACGAGCGTAACTTTTTCGAAAAATGATATAATTTGCTTAAACAAACTATTTGGCTAAATGATAGATTCTGTGTAAGAAATAGAGCAGGAAATTACAAACATTGGATCGCACGCGGCGTTAGCGCGGTTAACGACATTGTGAAAAAGGTGTTTTTATCCATGTAAAAAATGAAAATTAAATATAATATTGATGCTAACTTCATTTGGTATTATGGGATATTATAAGCGATTCAACAATTTATTAAATGTAGGTCATTCAAATTGTAAATTGAAACCCCTGGGTTGCCGCCTTACTTGAAAGTCATATTTAAGGATAACAGGGGATCAATACAATGTTTTTCGTAATAAGCATGAAGAAACAATTGTCCATATATTTTACTCATGTTCTATTATTTTGGAGGGAAGTCTTATTTTATATCAAAACATTAAAATTAAAATTAAACATCATACAGAATAGCGAACTATGCTTATTTGGAATCAGAAATTTGAAATGTAAGGCCTTAAACACAATATTATACTTTGTCGTATGCATATATACAGAAGTAAGGTGCAGAAAACTTTGCCGTGTATTCATATATTTAAAAGGGAGGTGAATAAGTATTACGCAATAGAAGAATATACAGCATTAGTAATTAATGACACTGATAAATTTGGAATAATTTAAAATATATTATTACTCATTATTGATTTGCGTCAAAAATGTAGCCACTAATGTTGTTGGTTTTAAACAAAAACAAAGACGCCAAGAATATTCAAATGACCCTGAAATTGCCTGAATGGCTAAGGAGTGTCATCGGCTGATGGATAAATTAAATAGTGTTAATCCAAGTCAAAAAGTACAATTCGTAAAGACATTAATCTCTACAAAAATAAGGTGAAAAAGAGATTAAAACATCTAAAAACTGAAAAAAGCAAAAGTAATCATAAAAGATATTGAAGATACTGATGATTCACGAAAAATGTTTTAGGCAATCAGGATTCTCAATAATTCAAAAGAAAGAAAACCAATAAGAATACAAAATGAACATAGAGAAAATTTTAATAGTGATCAAGATAAAGCGAACACGATTAGAGAATGGTTTTTATGAACGTCTTACAGGAGATGAACCCGGTTTAGAACCTTTAGGGATTATGATCCAATGTCTCTAGATAATCCTATAACATCAGAGGAGGTTAAACGTGCGGTCTAAAAACTAAAATGCCAAGGCGTGAGAACCAGATTATTTATCAAACGAACTCCTTAAATTTGCTGGTGAAACATTTTATGACAAGTATGCAGATATCTTAAACCAATGTTTTGAAAAAAATACGTACATAGAACAGGTTGGCCCAGGGCATCCTTCTACCGATTCAGAAACCTCAGAAAGTAGCTGGACCTGTTAAAAATATTCTACCAATTTGTATATTAAATGGGTGTCGAAAAGGTTTATCAAATATAGTATTAAATATAATACAGACCCATTGCGGAATACACGGGACCTTTTCAGCGTGCATACATACAAACAGGGAATGAGTTGCACAAACATCGTTTGGGCACAGAGAATGTTGATTTCGGTAGTACTTGAGAAAAAATTGACTTACCTAAAATGGGCATAGATATGTCCAGTGCATTTAATACGATTCGTAGGACAACAATTTATTAAGACTTCTCAAGGATGCAGGATGTAGTAGAGATGATGTTCGACTCGTCAGGTTCTTACTTGCAAACACAACGCTACGAGTTAAAGTACATAATTAGTGTGCACAAGAGGATCTTTTCAAGGTGATGGGATTCCCGGAAATTTTTTTTATCTTAGTCCTCGCAGGAGCTTTGAATCATTTGCGCGCCATCACAAACAGGCCAAACCCACCAATTACATAATATCGTATGCCAGCAGAGTGGCAATATGCAAAAGATTCTGATTTTATTGATGAATCGAAACAACCTTTAACGGGCTTTTTACCTAAATGTGCCAATGTACGGTATATAAACAATGAGACCTCTACGTTAATCCAGATAAGACAGAATTCGTCCACCTATATGTAGCGGATAAGGATGAAATTAATGACGATGGCGTGCACTTAAAATACAACGAACCATGGAGGTTTTCGAAATCGCTTTGATCAATGTTTGCTACACACAAGATATTATATATAGATGTCGTCTCGGCAATGCCGCCTTTCAGAAATAGAAAGATGTGGCTTTGTGGTACAAAGATTGAAATTACGAAGAAAATTAAAGTTTATGAAGCCCAAGTCGTATCTGTTATGTATAATTGCAGTTGTTGGGCAGCACCAAGCTCAGTCTTCGAGAAAGTTGATGTGATGTGATGCAGCGCAGACATCTCAAGACGATTTTGAATCTCCATTGGCCGTATGCAAGTATTTCTAATGCTGATCTTTATGAACGTTGCGGTGTTAATCTTCTCACGGAAAGATTAAAAAAGCGAGATGGATGATGTTAGGTCACGTTTTGCGTAGCCCTGAAAATTCTCCTGCATCCGTAGCACTTACATTTGCAGTTTTATCATCGAAAATACTACCTGGTCGCTTAGGGCGACATCAGACCAATCTTTTCAGCACGATTAAAGAAAACCTACTTATTAGAGAGCAGCTTAGCTCAGTCGGCTAATCTGGTGGTAGCCACTGTGTGTGCGCTGAACCGTGGAGATCTCTATAGGTCCCCAGTTGAATTCCCTTCGCTGCCTCTCCTTGTGTTTCAGATAGAAGGCTGAAATACAAGTTACAATAGCGCACCGTCTTTTGGATGAGACGTTTAAGCCGTTGGTTCCGTGTGCATTTACGGCCCATGTGCACGTTAAAGAACGCAGTACACTCTTCGGAAAAAAGTAGGGGATTGTCTCCCGGTGTACTGTCCAATCACCACCAGAAGAACCCCACTGGAAATTAGTCTTCTAGACTTTCGTGGGCTATCCTTGGTGTTTACACCGAATAAATCCAATCCAATCCAGAGGACTTTTATTAAGAACTATAGATGACATGTATCGATTGAGTACAATTGCAAAAAATCGACAAACATGGAGGAACATTTTATACCAATTATTCATTTGTATTACGATATTGAATGATATTTAACTAACAATCTTGATGTATCCCGCTTAAATTACGTGCCTGTATTAGACTCTTAATCATAGATTTTGAGTTTATCCTACAGTTACTATTTGTACATGAATTAAGGGCTCTTTGTATATGAATGTTTTTTTCTTATATTTTATTTCTGTTTTTGTTTTTTTGTGTTTATCATGTTAAAGATGGTGATGGCAAATAAAGGTGGTCTTGTACCACACTAAATGAAAAAAAAGTTGAGCACATTGCAATTTCTAAATCAGAACGCGAAGAAATTACGTCATTTGTCACAATTATTTCCGCCGTGACAGAAAAAAAAACCACTTAGCTTCAAGGTTTTGCGCACAAGTGTTATTGTGTGATAAAGTATATGACCACAGTATATCAATCTAATAATTGGCGGATCTAGAGGGGGTGAATAGGGTGGCTAGCCACCCACCTTCGGTGACCGTGTGTGTGCTTCTTATGTATACATGTTACGTGTAGTAGGCTACTCTCGTAAAACATACACTTTCTATTATAAGCTTAACTTCCTTTCAGATGTCATCCAAGAGCGTCTAGCCGTCTAATAATTTTAAAAAATTCAATTAAAAGGTGGGGGGGGGGGGTGGCTCCCAAAACCCATGATCAACGAGGGACAGTAGAACACGTCCCCAAAATAGTTTAAGGGGGTGGGAGGTTGGTCTCCTCACTTTTTGTCGGCAATGTAATAACTTCGTGAGTCAAGAACATGCCTGAAAATTGTTGAAATGAACTGCATAAATGACCCAGGTTTTAACGAAAGTGTGCTGTACAACATGGTGGGTGTGTACTCACGAAATGTCCACCTCACCTTTCGAAACTGACCTGTACCCTTGCCAAAACCACACCCCCCCCAGTGTATTGACTGTCATGGATCAACAGTTTTATTATGATACAGTTGTTTTGTTGTCGGCCATTCTTTTGCTAACACACTCTTCCATTTTTGTTCCGATATCGTTCATAACCACGAGACAAGGAAATATTCATAACCACGAAATAAAATTCGTTTCGATTCAATCGAAGATCCCATTGCAGATTAGCAAAATGTTGGGGAAAAACGTAGGCCTAGTATTGACATTTTGCTTCTATTATATTGCTTTTTCAAAACAAGACGGGACATGCAGAATTCAATCATTGAAATCTATTCCAAGTCAACTGACCTTCAAATACCAAACGAGCTCCGTTAACAACTCTTTGGATTTAAAATCGTGCGGTAAGTATTTTGAAAGTTTATAGCGATATTTTTTTATAATAATGCTTATTTAATTGATCCGCATTGGTTTTTCGGCAGTCTCCACCTGGTTACCCACAGAATCGATCAATTCATCCACCATCAATCATCTATTGATATTACCTGACTTTTTGGTTATGTTTGTATTCAAACATTTTGCAACAGTGCATGTAACGGTACAACGGACAGACCACTATGTATATTTTTTAAGTTGCATTCATCCTATTATATTCCACCCCACCCTGTTCTTGGCAAGCATTATGTATTTCCTAATTTCTTTAATAAATGTATTATATATACTTTAACTAAACTGTATTTCATATTTTTGAAATCTATTTAGGCCCACCTGGAACTCCTGACATAATATATAAAGTGAAACCTGATAAGGTCACAGCAAAGACCCGTTCTATAGACATAGAGCTTAAGGCTATGCTACGTACGTAAGCAGTTATTATTTCCATTCATAAATCATTGTTTTCTAAAGCTTTTGTCCAGATTATCAAATGTTATTTGGCAAAAAAAAAAAAAAAAAAAAAAAAAACCTGCTGTATTAATAGTCATGATGTGCCTATATATGGTCATGATGTGATGTCATAATGACCATATTTAGGCATGTAGACATTTTGCCCTTGCAGACTAGATATAGCTCGTTGGAACCAGCATCATTTATTAATGACTAACCTGAGGTTATCGTAAAGTAAAGGATTCCAGTATGTGAAACAAGTACCCAATTTTTAATGATGTCAATTAACAGAACTTAAAATGAGACAGGCATAGTTCCTTCCAGCCTTGTCAATTGCAGCATCAATACCACCAGTGAGGCACCCAACTGCTGAAAAAAAAAATTATGTGAACTAATCGACTGATAAATTAAAATTTAATATTGGATTAATCTTGAAGTAAACAATAACCGACAATCTCACAGAGGTATAGTAGACCCTCTGTGTAGGCCATTTGCATGTAGGCCTATTTGTTTTAATTATTATTATTAATGCCACATGTTTTTGTCAAATACAATTTGATAGTCTGGACAGGCTTAAGAAAAAGCTTCCACCCACTAAGCTTAAGGTTCTCTATTTATGAAGTCTTCTGTTCATGAAGATCGCTAGTCATAATGACCATTGATATGGATCGCTATTCATAATTCAAATTCATTAATTTTTGATTACGGTACTGTATAGTTAGGCAGATGGAGTACCAATGCAGCAAAAAAATCTTTACAAAGCGATTTTTGTTGGAAACCGTATAATACCAATACCAATAAAGTTAGATGGATTTCGGCCATTAGAAAATTTGTTATGACCTTCTACATAAAAAGGGAAATTCTATTTATAGTAATAAGGTAGAGGGTGGGGGGTTGAATAGATAGCCATATCTTACCCTAAATGCATACAACAGCACGCATGATAAAATATATCATTGTTCATTCAGTACCTGGCCACTAAATCACGAAAAACATAATTAATGATGTCATAAACTGTCAGAGGTCTCTGATTTTTTTTCTCTAAATAAAATATTAGTAACAAGTGGTAATATATAAATATATGAAACGTGTAGGCTGCCGGCACCTTGACCTCTGACGATTAGTACCTAAACTAATTTTCACAAAAACGTGATGCAATAATGACAAAATGATTATTATTGGGTTTTTTTTCGGTAAATATTTCAGCCGCTCCAAATTTCTTTCCTATTCTTCTTTCTTCCTATGCTTCTTCCATATTTTCGTTTGTTTGTTTGTTTGTTTATTGGTTTTTTTCACACAATTGTAATAAGTTCTACAATATAATAGGAAAGTAAAGTTAGGTATTGTTGTTATCTTAAATAATAGACAGCAAATGTAAAGTATTGGTGTGAAAGGAAGTGATAATAAGTTATATTAATTTGATTATTTTTACTATTACATGTCCAACGAATGGATACCTTGTTCGAAGAAAGTTTTGCCTTCGTTTTGTTTATATATATATACACATTATGCTAGGTTTAACTGGCCATAAATTTGAGGAAGTATTGTACTGTACTCTCATTGAGCGTTGCGTTCGACATAGGTCGTTGGATTGGACGCCGTTGATTCGATATATATACACATATATATATAATATATATATATATATATATATGTTGTATGAATATGTATATATATATGTTGTATATATATATATATATATATATATATATATATGTATATATGTATATATATATATATATGCAATTCTCTTGATAAGCAGTAGCTAATATTACCGATGGTGGTTTTCTTGATGCTTCTTTGTTACTTGGGAATGGTGACCAACCAATAAGATTTTTCACTGCTTTTGACTGCGGCATGCTGCATGATGACGACGACATTAAGTGCCCTCTGCCATTAAGTAAGAAAGGTGAGTATTTACTTTAATTTGGTTAGCATTGAATCATGTTTTTATTCAAATTTCCCTCTCTGATCATTTTATCTCATTTTGAATTTACTTAATTATTAGTTTACTTTATTCATTATCAGTATATTATTATTCTTCATTTTAATGAGTAAATGAATATGATATCACTTTAACACATTTGCTAATAAAGTAATTTATCTTAATGTTAGAACTAAAATTATGTTAGGTTTAACTGGCCATATATTTGAAGAAGTATTGTACTGTACTCTCATTGAGCGTTACTTTTGACATAGATCGTTGAATTGGACGCCGTTGATTTGACACTAAATACACTTATCTAAAGAATCTTCTTTTCATTTCAGAATGGTTGTATCTAAAGGCAGTTTGTGATACCAGATTTTACTTGCCGGTAGGTGTAATTTGTTGCGCAAACTTAAGTTTTTTAATTAATCAATAGCATTTACGTTATATTTTGTAAAATGAGTTGAATTCTGTTGTATGGTGTTTAGTGAATGCATGGCCAGATATATTGAGCTGATTTGGTACGATTTTAACTCTGTGGTTATAAAGTATATGACTTGACGTTTGCATTTAAGTACAAACTATAATAGTCTTTAAGTGTCGTTGTTGGGTATACAACTGAATGGTTAAGTTTTGAATGTGAGGGTGAGGATGCTTACTAAACACAGTATGACTTCTTACTAATGACAATTGGAATGCACCATAGTATGACGTAAATCTATGGGGACAAATCAACAACAACCAAAGAGTCACATTTAGGTTATACACCACAGTATGACTTTAATGTGACTATGAAGCCGAAACAAACACCGGTGTGACACCGAAGCCAAAACCCCATTTACACTTAAAAATGAAACTGCGAGATGATCTGGGGTCACACCCATTTACACTTGCCAACGAACACCGGTTGAACACTGGTTTTGAACGCTGCCCTCTATGGACATTCTTGAGGAAAACTAGCTCATAAATCTGCAATTCAAGTTTAGCATCAAAAATCAAAATCAAAAATCAAAATCAAAAACAAAATTAACATTTATTTCCTTCAAAACGTAAATTATAATATTCATTGAAATGTAATAAATAAATAACATAAGTATTCAAGGGGGCAAAATTCCGAAAAGCAGAGCTTGTAATGGATGTGCCCAAGACAATTAACAACACATTAACGAGAAAAAAAGACAAACATTTAAAAGGATAATAATAATATTGATAATAGAGCATTTCAAAATATAAATGAAAAATTATTATGAAAAACATACATAATAGGAATTATGTGTCAAAGTTTTTACGAAACCCAAATTGCTTATCAAAAAGAATATCGTTTTTTTTAAAAATAAAAGCATACGTTCTATTGTAAATAATACGTTCTAATATTTTGGAGAATGCAGTAAGAACAGATATTGGTCGGTAATTGGACAATGAATCCTTCCTACCCATTTTGAAAATAGGGGAGACTCTCGCTAATTTCAATTGATCTGGGAAAACCCCATTTTTTAAAGATAAATTAAATATATGGCAAAGAGGTTTAACTAAAAAATAAATTGATTGTTTTATAACTTTTGGGCTAAATTCGTCAAGTCCCTGTGCTTTATTAGTTTTAAAGCCATTAACAATGTCTATAATTTCAGTGTCCGATACTGGAAGCATAAACAATTAATTCATGGTATGTTGAGGTAAATATTTATTAAATTCGGGTCGGTTTGTCGGCATTTTATTAGAAAGGGTTGGGCTTATTTCAACAAAAAACTTATTAAACGCATTTGCGATTTCAGTTGAATCTTTCATAGGTTCACCGTTATCATCTATTATTACACCAGTGTTTGTGTTCGAAGACCTTTTCATCAATGTATTAATTATACGCCATGTCCCATCAGAAATACCTGCTTATTTTCATTTGCAAGGGTATGACAAAGTTTGTCAAGGGTATCATTAAAGGCGTTAACGTCCAAAGACGGAGCCCGGTAAAATGTCCCTATGATAATATTTTTTCCCATGCTTTAGTTTTATTTCGATGAACAACGATTCACATATTTATTCATCGGTTAATAAGTCATCACGAACAACAAAAGATAATTTGTTTTGCACGTACATAGCTACACCACCACCACTTTTGGATTGTCTTTTTTTAGATAAGAATGTATATCCGGGGATATTTGTTAGTGGACTATCATCGTTTTTAAGCCAAGATTCAGAAATGGCAATAACATCAAATTCCAACTCAAATGTTAGAAGAAAACATCTTAAAGAGTCCATCTTACCCAAGAGACTACGTGCATTGAAATGAATACTAGAAAAAAGGTCATCATTATTTAATTTAGAAAAAGTATCAGCAAACTGACTTGGATGAAAATAACTTGATTCATTTATACTATCACTATAAAATTGAAAGTCCGGATCTACATCTTCATTATTGATGATGTTTTCGTAGGCCAGGAAGGGGTTAAATTTTAAATCGGATAGAGTATTTAAATTTTCGGCATCTAAGCTATTAGGATTTGGCATGGTGGGGGAGTATGTACATAAATTCGCTCAACTTTTACACTTATTTTTAAATCGTATGCATTCAATGCTAACACGAAGATAGAAAAGGGTGGGTATATGTACTTTGAAATATAGATAAAGTGTACATCATCCATATGCATAATATCAATTGATAGCATTTAACATGATAGTATATAATATTGCAACGGTAGATGCCAAAATAAAAAAAATAAAAATAAATAAATAAATAATAATAATAATAATAATAATAATAATAATAATAATAATAATAATAATAATAATAATAACACACACAATAAAAGCACATGGTTCGTAAATAAGTTCGGGCTACTTAATGTGCTATAACAAAAAAAGATACGGTAAGCCATTGCTCCGTCAGAGAAATATTAAGTAGAAGTATAGATAAAGTTAATTTTAATCATAATTAATATTATGACATGCTACTAATTAAGTGACAATAGCCAACGAGTTAAAAGAATAGACAATGTCTACCTAGGAGTGGAACAAACCGTTGATGTACAAGTTTCCGTTACGGAAAGACGGCCTTTTACCATCACTATAGGCTAGGGCCATTGTGTATTTTAGACTTCGTTTTTTTGCAAGATCCGCTTCGCAAAGATCATCGGTAACAAATAAGTTACTGTTTTTTAGTAATGCCCTTGCCTTCGTAAAGACTTGATGACGTTGGGGCCGGTATATAAACTTTGCAACAATATGCCTTGGCTTATCGTTCGGTGCACGGGGTTTACCTGTCCGGTGGGCGTTCTCAATCATAACTTCCGGAATATTTAACTTATTTTGGATCAAATCTTTAATCTTCTCGACAGCATTTTCGTTTCTTTCCTCCGGTAAGCGACCAAAACGCAAATTAAACGATCTTGAATATCTTTCGAACTTGTTGAGTTTTTTTTGCAGCGACATACAGCTTGATTTTTCGGTTTCCACAGTAGACGATACCGGTACTTCTTTAAGCTCAGCAGCTAAATTATCCATTTTCGTTTCTATTTCATAGATGGAATTGCTTGCAAATTCAATTGATTCTTCCAATTGAGTCTGTTTGTTTTCGATTTTGTTCATCCTTCCTAATATGGTATGTTGGTTAGTTAAGACAGTGTCCAGCTGACCACGAATACCAAGCAAGTCCGTTGATAGCTGTTGAATTTCGCGCTTCAGTGCTTCCGTACTAGCGGCGGCGGAAGCTTTAGACGGCGGAAGCGACTCGGGTAATTGTAGGCCTACGTCTGCTGGTGATTTTTGGCCTACGTCTGTTGGCTGCTTTTTTTTACCCATCTCCTGTATTATTTTTTTACTTTAATAATAATCAATTCTAAAGTTCGGAATACACTTACAGTTCGGATCGTATATCGTTGGCTACGATAGTATTTTAGTAACGTTCTGTATATTTATGACGGAGCTAGCTACTGACGTCTGTTCACTCAGCCATTCCACTCATAGCATGCCGGGGTAAAACGTTTTGTTTTATTTGTACACTAAAAACCGAATTAATTTCATAAATACAATCATAAGTGTATTATTTTTAACTAAATACGTTCAAGATATACAAATGTTTATATTACAAAAAAAAAGAATAATTTTAATGAAAGTGGATGATTAAAATCCCGGTTTGTGAAAGGCGGGACTGTTTACATTGTGTGTTTCGATATCAAAGGGACTATCCCTGAGAAGCTTCTCCTGAAACACTCAGCTTCGTTGAACTCGGGTTCAGCATACCGGTGTCGTTGACGTTCACCCATACACTAACACCAACTCCGGTGTCCGAAATCCGGTGTATCGACAACGGAGAAGCGGGTTTATTCTGGAGTCCAGCTGATAGTGTAAAATTGGTATTGTTATTGAACTTATTACCAGCAAAATAGTATAGTAAAATAAATAAATTAGGAATAAATCGCAATAGATAACTTTTATAATTGCAATTTCTCATTTTTTATACTACTGTATAAGGAAATATCGCCCGTATTCTTAAAACGAACTTTAGTCGAACTTCGAACTAGAACTTCATTTAGTCTCAATTTGCATATACAAACAACGTAGTCGAAGTTTTAACCACGACTAAATCACACCTATGTTGTAGTTTAGCTGAAGACGGCTGGCAAGCAGCAACTCTCAAACTAACCAATGAAAGAGCTAATTTTAATAGCAGACGAAAGTTTAGAGATCTGGTAACGCGGGTGAATATTAAGCTGCCGTCTGTCTTTCAAAAAAATATTTCCTCATACTTCATAATAGACCATAATTCGCCTAAATAATATTCTATAATAATAACTATATTAGTCGTTAACATCCAACGATAGAGAATTTGAACTGTAACTGAAAAATTTCGCCTTTTGGAAGCTAAACTTAATGTTCCTTTTCTTGAACACGTTGGAGATACATCAGACCTATAATTAATACAATCGTTTTTATTCATTTCACTTTATCGTAAGTTACAAAAAGCATGTTTTTAGTGAGGTAAATATTTCAAGTCGGAGATTTAGGCTCGCCCTAGGCTGACCTAAAAAATCGGCCTGTGGAGGTATCATTTTAGTCGAGTTTCTCTTTATTTAGTCGTAGTTCTATTCCAAGTTCGTTTTAAGAATACGAAATGACGTAATTTTGAGGTTTTAACTCGAACTATGACTAAAGTTCGTTTTAAGAATACCGGGGTATATGTCTACATTTTAAAAAGTGATTATGAATTTGTTTCCTCAACAAAAGACAATTGTTTTCTCTGATTTTATTTTTATAACAAATGATTGGTAGATACTAGTTTTCAAATGATATTGCAAAGTATAGAGCATATATAATTATGTGACCGGCTCTGTCAAAACCCTCCTTTTGTTGCAATTTTTCTAATTTCGCAGAAGCACAAAAATGTTCGAGAATCAGAATTTTTAACATTTTCAGGTCAAACATTTTGTTTTATTTGTACACTAAAAACCGAATTAATTTCATAAATACAATCATAAGCAATAAAATATAACTTACATTATGTGTAATGATTAAAATCCCGGTTTGTGAAAGGCGGGACTGTTTACATTGTGTGTTTCGATATCAAAGGGACTATCCCTGAGAAGCTTCTCCTGAAACACTCAGCTTCGTTGAACTCGGGTTCAGCATACCGGTGTCGTTGACGTTCACCCATACACTAACACCAACTCCGGTGTCCGAAATCCGGTGTATCGACAACGGAGAAGTAAAAGCGGGTTTATTCTGGAGTCCAGCTGATAGTGTAAAATTGGTATTGTTATTGAACTTATTACCAGCAAAATAGTATAGTAAAATAAATAAATTTGGAATAAATCGCAATAGATAACTTTTATAATATGTAAACTTAGAAAAATAGTAGGTTACCAATACTTGGAATCTAGTAACGTTGACATTTACTTTTGATGTTGACGTCTTTTAGTGAATTTGTTAAACTGTTTTCTGGATGAGGCTATAATCTTACATTTGAAAGGTTAGAAAATAGTTTAAGTAGATAATCTTTTTTCTAAAAGCGAAAACAAAAGATACCGGCATTTTTGCATACGTTGTTCTATTATTAAAGGAAAGCATGCTAAGACTGGATTAATTTGAATGCTTTGTGTGTATTTAGTAATTGCAATTTCTAATTTTTTAATACTACTGTATAAGGAAATATCGCCCGTATTCTTAAAACGAACTTTAGTCGAACTTCGAACTAGAACTTTATTTAGTCTCAATTTGCATATACAAACAACGTAGTCGAAGTTTTAACCACGACTAAATCACACCCATGTTGTAGTTTAGCTGAAGACGGCTGGCAAGCAGCAACTCTCAAACTAACCAATGAAAGAGCTAATTTTAATAGCAGACGAAAGTTTAGAGATCTGGTAACGCGGGTGAATATTAAGCTGCCGTCTGTCTTTCAAAAAAATATTTCCTCATACTTCATAATAGACCATAATTCGCCTAAATAATATTCTATAATAATAACTATATTAGTCGTTAACATCCAACGATAGAGAATTTGAACTGTAACTGAAAAATTTCGCCTTTTGGAAGCTAAACTTAATGTTCCTTTTCTTGAACACGTTGGAGATACATCAGACCTATAATTAATACAATCGTTTTTATTCATTTCACTTTATCGTAAGTTACAAAAAGCATGTTTTTAGTGAGGTAAATATTTCAAGTCGGAGATTTAGGCTCGCCCTAGGCTGACCTAAAAAATCGGCCTGTGGAGGTATCATTTTAGTCGAGTTTCTCTTTATTTAGTCGTAGTTCTATTCCAAGTTCGTTTTAAGAATACGAAATGACGTAATTTTGAGGTTTTAACTCGAACTATGACTAAAGTTCGTTTTAAGAATACCGGGGTATATGTCTACATTTTAAAAAGTGATTATGAATTTGTTTCCTCAACAAAAGACAATTGTTTTCTCTGATTTTATTTTTATGACAAATGATTGGTAGATACTAGTTTTCAAATGATATTGCAAAGTATAGAGCATATATAATTATGTGACCGGCTCTGTCAAAACCCTGTCTCTTATACACATCTCTGGAAGCATAAACAATGAATTCAGGGTAGGTTGAGGTAAATATTTATTAAATTCGGGTCGATTCGTCGGCATTTTATTAGAAAGGGTTGGGCCTATTTCAACAAAATCAATGCTAGCACGAAGATAGAAAAAGGCGGGTGTATGCACTTTGAAATATTGATAAAGTGTGCATCATCCATATGTATAATATCAATTGATAGCATTTAACATGATAGTATATAATATTGCACTAGATGCCAATAAAACGATCTGAACAATTTTCTTTACAGAGCGTAAGTGGTAAGGTAAACGTGAAGCTAACGAACTACAAAGCAGAAGAACTGATTTGCATTGAAGGCCAAATTCGTACATTCTAACTAACAAGTAGGGCCTGACACGTCAGCCAGGTTAAACAAATCATGTCGTGTTTACAGTTAGAAAACTCAAGTACCCCATGTAATCTTTTACCTTGAAGAATTGCCTATTATGTGTAGTACTTAGTAGCTGCTTTTACGCGAATGTAGACATAAATGAATACATAGCAAATAAGATCGTTTCTAGGAAGAGATCATGGCTGATGTTTAATTATGTACTACTTATACAGAAAGTATGATTTCGTCGCTGATATATATGGAGAGCTTTTCTATCAATGGTGATACGATAAAGCAGGAACATTTTTTTTACTATAACGTACGTGAACAGTGAACATAACTGAAGAAGGATATAATATAAATATTAAAGAATAAATGAATATGTTCATGTTAATTTTGTGCTTGCTGAAGTATAATTTCTAAATATAGAGGGCTTGATTTACAATATTATAAAATTTAAAGAATAAACTACTGTTGCTGTTCAGACAATCTGTTATTTCACATCATTGCAACTGTCTATGATCTACAAGATACACCCGCTATTAAAATAATTGGGGAAAAAAAACATTTAGTACAAGTCCATGCGTGATAACGAATTATCACGAATTCAGGGGGAAAATCTATTTAAAATTAGAAAAAAAAAAATGGTTTTATTAAAAATATGAAAACGGTGACGAGCTTTCGTTATCGTTCCAGAATCAAATTGCCAAGAAAATCTCTCTTTTCCAACTAAGACAACTCAGCCTAACACGCACATAGATCATTGTCACAAATTTTTAATTATGTGACTGAAGCCCGGACTAACAACGGGGCTCCGCCCCTGGACCCCTGCGGAGGCCCTGGCGTTCCCCCTCCCTCCAGCCAACTGGTGTAGTAACACATTTCACGTCTCTCAGGTTTTTAACTATGTACACCACTAATAACAAGGTAGTAATTAGCATTTAGCACTCTTGTGATTTTGAAACTTTTCAGACACCATACTATAATCACATGCCCCTTCATATGCAAATTATCTGAAATGCGCAAACTGACGCAAATTGATGAAAATCAGCGCATTTTAAGAAAAAAACTAAGGATTTAAGTTATACATAATACTGTTGTTCTATCTAACCCATCAGTACAAACAGAAAAGCAAAACAGAAAAACAGAAAAGCTTGGTGATTGAGTTGAAGGTTAAGATGTGGACTGTTCCATATAATTTCTAGTGATTCTTTTATTCTTAGTCTCTTCGTAATCTAATTTTACTGTTATCCTTGTCAATGACGTTGAAGCATTTAGTATTAGCTAACGTTTTGGATTTTTTTTTTTCGTTTAGATGTTTTTAAAATGTGTGAATTTGTGTCTTTGCCAAGATGTTCATCAATCCTAGTAAGCAAGTGTCCAGCTAGTATAGCCTCTTGGCATTTTCAGTTTCTGTCAATCAAATTACAAGCTGAGACTAATTAAAACACTTACTGCCACAATTTTTTTTCGGTTTGTCGATATATTTTATAAAGTCGTTTTTTGATAAAATATTGTATTACCATGATTTACTATAGCGTTGTTTTTTATTTATACCTTCAAGTTCATCGATTTTGATAGATTAATGCAAAGTTAAGCAGTTTTGAGAAATCAGGCCTCAAAGTTTACGATTTTAACCATTTCACAAAGAGAAACCATCAACAAATCATAAAAAAAATGTTGTTTTAACATTGTAAATTGGGAAAACAACAACATAGCATGATGTATAGCTATATGAAATTAGTTTAAAATAGATTTCAAAAATCTTGACCTACATTCGAACATGTTTTAGCAATTGAGTCACAGTATTAAATACAAAGTGTGTGTTCATAAACATTAGTATTATTTCATTATTTAGAGTTATTCCAATGCAGCTAAAGATGAAATACAGAAATAAAGATAAACAAAGTATATATTACACAACTACAATATTATAAAGTTACTAGTATGAGAAGAGAAGGAAACCAAAAGAGAGGTAGCTTTTAAGTTATAGGGCAAGGATTAGACCATCATCCTCCACTTCGAGGGATAGCAAAGGAGGAATGCAGCTAAAACAGAATTGCAAAAAAAAAAAATAGGTTTATAAAACAAAGACAAAATGAGACATCACTCAACTATAATACTACAAATAGGAAAATAATATACATATGAAACACTGAATTAAATTATATTTAAAAAAAAAACATTACAATTATTTTTAAGTTATAAAGTTGTTAAATTATCAAAATTAATAAATCTATAATTATATACAAAAGCAGATTAAAAATGATTCATTATTTGATGTATCTTATAGAATATTGTAATTTTTTTAAAGCTAGTAGATGTTAACATTGGAAATAATGGACCAGGCACACAATGCTAAGCAAGGATGTACTGTTTGCGGAAGAAAAAGTGTGATTCTTGAAGTATATTGGTCAGATAAAGGATTGGACTACTTTTAATTCTATTAATTTTAGAATTAAAATGTTTAGATTTATTTGATTTCCTGGGAGTCATTGTTGTGGTACCATTCGATATAGAAAACAACTTACAAAATCGAACGGATTTTGCATCTAAAAATTGATTTTTGACATTTCTTTTTCGGCAATCTTTCAATATTCGAGGTCAGGAAAACAGGTCGTAATTTATCGCATGTGGGAGAATACACTTTGGGCAATGGAACCACATTTGCACATTTCCATTGCTCAGGCGCGGACATTGCAATGAGAATTAGATTCATTAATAACATTAGGTATACTTAATTCGTATTCACATTCGCGCAACACCTTCTGGGGATGATGTCAATACCACTTGCATTATTAAGACGAATCCTCTTTAAAACGTCAAACACGTCCATGGGTGGCATATGACTAAGTAAAGAAATCGGTAGTATTTGAAAATTAATTGTTCCTGTGATTGTGCATGCACAACATTTTTCGACGTATACCAGCGTATGGCTTATACGTATACGTGCCGTATTGGCGGGTCATAAGTTGTAGGTAATTAGTTTTCTCGATCGTTGACACACGTTCATACACGTTACTTTTGGCCCTGTCACACCTTGACGATTTAGCCAGCGTATGCCGACGTATGAAAAAAAAAAAAATGGCGAATACGCTGGCGTACGTCGAATAAATTATTGGTAAGTTTCGTATAAGTTAGGAGCACGCTGAAGGACGCTGCCAGTATACGGCGAAAAATTTTGTGCTGCACAAAACTTTTCGAATTATGCCAGCGTATGGCTCGTACGTTCCGCATACGAGGGCCATACGTTGTAGGTAGTTAAGCGATCGTTGACAAACGCTGACACACGTTACTTGTAAGTTACTCGGAAGTCAAAACATATTTGTAACCTATGAGTAACGTGCTTCGAACTTATATGTAACTTGTAACGAACTTACTTATATTCACGTATGTAGACATTGTTGCAGACGACCACAAAACTTACTGAACGTGTTTCTAATCTACAGTTATCGTATAATGACGTAGTGCCAGCGTTTAGGGAAATAAGTATATTAAAATGGTGTGATGTCAATACGCTGATGTTGATACTTCCACTTGAAAAATATATTCTCGAACGCAAACCAAATCAACCAAATGTGTGAATATGTTTGTTATGCCAGGAAACAGTTAACTGTTCCCTAGTTAAGCAAATGGCGTTTTTGCGTCAGGAGAAACGCATCGATGCTTGACCTACCTGAAGTTACAGTATTAAATGCTAAGTACAATTCCCAAAACACTTGCAAAAAAAAAAATTCACTAGTGATTCAGGTGGGTATCTAATCCGTCAGGTAAGGCAAATTTTGATTTGTATATTGCTTTGCTTTGGTTTGACAAACTTTTAATGAACTAGAAACTCCTCTTATGTTACGCAGAAGAAGCACAGCCTCCCCGCGGTGCAATTTTCTCCCGTATAAAATGTTGCAATCTTTAAATTATGAAAATTTACAAGCATATTGAATTGAATTGTGTTTAGATGAGTATTATGATTATGGAGCTCCTTCCCCCAAACGCTTTTCCCCCAGTCTCCTCCCAGCCCACTTGAAATCTTATAAGGAAAATGATTATGCTTTAAGTAATTAAAAATCACCTCATCAATATGTGCTTTATTTTTGTAGGTTTGGTTTTGTTTGGTTAAATCAGGGAACAGTTAAATTTAACTGTTCCCTGGTTAAATCAAGATGTAGAAGATGGTAATTTGTTCTTGAAATTGTCTAACAGCGATATATCGATATAAATATAATAATAATAATAATAATAATAATAATAATAATAATTTTAGCTTATATAGCGCATTATGCTAAAGCCTCAATGCTCTTAACAGTAAAAATAAAATTTAAAAAAATAAAAAAATAAAAAAAATAAATAAAAAAAAGTAAAAATAAAATAAAATATACAAGAATCAATTGGCGTCGTTCCACTAGAAATGAAAACTACTTTGTAAATATTATTCATTTCGATATGATAGCTAGATATTTAAATGAGGTACCAATTTTTAGACATAGATTCCTTTTTAATATTTAACAAATTGGTGACTTTTGCACAGGCATGTGACATAAAAACAATATATAGGTCAGACCAGGCTCCAGTAACATTAAAACTAAAGTTTTAAAATATATCAAGAGGAAAAGGACTATGGAAGTTCAACAACTCACTTTTAATGGACTTAACTTATATCGACAAGGTAAAAAAAACGATAATTTCAGTGATAAAACAGTATGCATCTAATACCATAGAGAAAAAATCTCTGGATGAAATTACATTTAACATAAACGACCAATTATTTTGAAACATTATTATGTGAATTAAGGGGAATGACAATATCATACAGCAGTTGACTAATTAAGGAAAGTAAAAAGGAGGCAAAACTGTGGGATAAAATGTAGTCTTTAGAACAATCAACTAAGGAGCTCTTAACAATAAGGTTGAATAAAGATGCTCAAATTTTAACAGATGAATATAATGCAGTGCAAGATAAGTTACAAAGATCTAGAGAGAGAGAAAACAATTCTTTAAGATCAAAAGCGCTGTGGATTATTCAAATTAGGAAAAAAATTATGTTAACAAAATTCATATTCATATTCATAATTCATAATTTTATTTCACATAAAAATGATTAGGCAAAAAGGGAACATGTCCCTGCACAAGATGTCTACCAGAGAAACATTGATAAAAGTAAAAAAAAAAAAAATAATAATAATAATAATAATAATAATAATAATAAATAATAAATAATAAATAATAAATAATAACAATAACAATAACAATAACAATAACAATAACAATAACAATAACAATAACAATAATAATAATAATAATAATAATAATAACAACAATAACAACAATAACAACAACAATTATAACAACAATGCTGTGCATCGTTCCAACCAAAACTGACTAAATTTGGAAATGTCGAAATAAACCCTGGCCCACCACTACAAACAAACTCGAAGGTCTGTGGACAAAAAGGCAAACAGACTGGTAAGCAACATATCCCTATGTATT